TGCTATATGAACACAAAATATGATGACTGGTTTAACTCCCTCATATAAGAAGCAAATCATATTTAATCCTCACAGAATCCCAAACTGGTAGAGGTTTGGAAGGGACCTCTGGAGATTATCTGGTCCAACCCTCCTGCTCAAAAAAGGTTACCTAGAGCACGTTGCCCAGGATTATGTGCAGACAGCTTTTGAATATCTCCAGGGATATCGCCCAACCTCTCTGGGCAACCTGTTCCAGTGCTCTGTCACCCTCACAGTCAAGAAGTTTTTCCTCATGCTCAGATGGAACTTTGTTTTGTTTCAGTTTGTTCTTGTCCTGTCACTGGGCACCACAGAGAAGAGTCTGGCCCCATCCTCTTGACGCCTTTCCTTCAGATACTTATACACATCGATCAGATTCCCCCCTCAGTCTTCTCCAGGCTGAACAGGCCCAGCTCTCTCAGCCTTTCCTCAGAGGAGAGATGCTCCGGTCCCTTCATTACTTTAGTAGCACTTCCCTGGGTGCACTGCAGTAGTGCCGTGTCTCTCTTGTACTGGGGAGCCCAGAACTGGACACAGTACTCCAGGTGAGGCCTCCCCAGGGCTGAGGAGAGGGGGAAGATTACCTCCGTCAGCCTCCTGGCCAGTGGTACCCTGGGTTGCATTAAGACCACCATTACCTTCGTGGCCACAAGGGCGCATTGCTGCCTCATGGTCCCCCTGTTGTCCGCCAGGACTCCCAGGTCTTCTTCTGCAGAGCTACTTTCCAGCAGCTCAGCCCCCAGCCTGTACTGCTGCATGGGGTTATTCCTCCCCAGGGGCAGGACCGTGCACTTGCCTTTGTTGACCTTCAGGAGGTTCCTCTCTGCCCAGCTCTCCAGTCTGTCGAGGTCGCTCTGAACGGCAGCACAGCCCTCTGGGGTATCAGCCACTGTTCCCAGTTTGGCATTGTCATGAAACTTGCTGAGGGTGCACTCTGTCCCTTCATCCAGGTCACTGGTGAATAAGTTCAACAGCATCCAGGCCTCTCTTCCTGAGCTTGCCTGTGAGTATGTGATGGGAGACAGTGTCAAAAGCCTTGCTGAAGTCAAGGTCTTAGGCCTTCCTTCTGTGAAGGACTGTTTGTAAGCTGTCTTCTTCAAAACTAATGATTGCTGTTGTTTAAAAACTAAATGCTGAAATCAAATGGCAACCAATATATAAATGTCTTTAAAGCATCAAAAAGATGGAGATTTTTGAGGTTGGTGTTAAATATTTTCTGTGTATTTGTAGTGTTGCAAGACCTTTGCCTACATGTTGGTGGAGGTACAGATTTTCTTCAGCAGTGTTGGAATCTAAGGGAAGCAATCAGACCATTTTTTTGTAGTAAATAATTTCCTGTGTGTTAATATAAAAAGACTATTAAGTACCACAACAGTTTTTCAGTGGTCTCTTTAAAGACTTCTTAGTAGCAAAAAAATTGGGTGCATATGCAGTATGTGTGGTAGTATGATCTTGATATAAATAACTTATGCTCCTACGATGAAGTTGTTACTGCAAAAATATTTATTGTAAGAACGCTTGCTACTGAGAGCTTCATATGAAATGTTAGGATGATCTTCCTGATGATCAAGTTCTTATTGGAAGTTGGTATATGAGAAGAGAGGTTTTTAGTTTGACTGCATAAGTTTAACCAGACAGATCTGCTGTAATTATTTTAGACTGGTTGACTTTGTTTTCTTATAGCAGTCTGTCATCAGAAGGGGTGTCTCCAGTATTCTGCTAGATTGTGAAGCTACCTCACCAAAGGCAGTGTGATTACTATTGATTTTAGGCTGATGACTTAATTGCTCACTGTAAGTGTCCAGAGTCGTGAAGGGTTGCCTTTTCCATATATTTGCATATTTGGCTGCCCTCATGTAAAGTGAGGTTCTACATGACTGACTTGCATGTCAAATCAGGAGTATATCAGCTGGCATTTTGGCATCTAAGGCTTTGAGTTGAATTTCCCAGTCAGTCTCTTATGTTGGTATTTATTTATGAGAGCGTTCATGGTTGTAACCTTCTCCTTGTGAGATGGTCCATTGGGTGTGCTTGGTTTTAGGCATTATGGTTTAAAATAGACTACAAATAGACCTGTGCAAGCTTTCTTGCTAGACTAATGAAATTTGCCATTTAATTCCTGCAAGGCAGTAAGTCTTCATCAGAGGAGGAAAGAACTATTTCCTGGAATAAGTGGATGAGGCTCTTAATTTATCAGGTTTGCCTGAAGTCCTGTGCAAGACGTGCTCTGAGCAGACAGAATCTACACTTGGTGAATCTTTTTAATAGTTTCTATGTATATAGTAGTAGCTTCTTTATGTTTTGAGCTATATCACGCACATCTTATTTTTATGGAACATCTTCTATAGCTATTTATTTCATGGTTGATTCTGATTAGTATACTTGAATATTAGGCTGAAAATCACCTCAAGAGTTCAGGTAACCTACTTTCCTGCGGAGGCAGGATGCAAGTAAACCTAGTTCATTCTTAGAGAAGTGTATCTCTTCCCTAATGAATAATTTCTCAGTTTTTTCTAGGCAGGCTCTCTGCCTAGCCATTTTTATTTCAAAGTAGTTCTTAATATCTTAAAACTCCTTCATGATAAAGCAAACAGTTTCTTATTGTATCTACTTCAGGAAAAGGAAGGGGGACAGTTGATTCATATTTTCAATAAAATAAAACATTATTACAAGGGACAATTATTATGATCCTGGATTTTTTTTCTGCCTTTCTAGCCTTTACTATATTATGACAAAGATTTCAACCAATTTCTTGTAGATCATTTTTTGCTAATTGCTTCTGTCTTCTCTCCAGTTTGTCTGCAACTTTCTAAAGTGTGAAGTCCTTCTTTGCTCGATGTTTATATATACTGATTTAGCACCAAATCTATTAACTGTTTCTTCCCTTACTACGTGGCTTAATTTAAATGTAACAAGACTTAAATGCTTGCTGTGACTTTTTTAGGAACATGTAGAATATTTTATTTGAAATCTAGAAAATAAAGTATTCTGATTTATGATTAGAGATGTAATTTGTTTTTTTTTTTTCCTCTTGAAGTAAATGTTCCTCTTCTGCTTGCCCCACTAAGGCTATTTGAAGATGTGTTTTTTTTTTTTTCTTGTGGGGGTGATGTGGTGGTCTTTTGTTGTTGTGTGTATTTTTTTTTTTTTTAAATCTAAATCAAGACAGTAAAAACTAGACTAAAAAGTAAACCAGATAAGGGGTTGGTGCATATTTGGAGAAGTCTTGTCTAAATCTGTATTAAAGTGGTTCACACCATTCAAAAGAAGTGTTACTGATGAGCAAAATCGTAGAATCTGTCAAATGGTGGGGATCCTCAGCACTTCGTGGAGTTCCCTGTATGAGGTAATGAGAAGTTTGGATTATCTAGAAGAAAGTCTTTGTTACCACATGAGGTGCCAAAAAAAAAAAAAGGACCCAAAATTTTTTTCATCGCATTGACGAGAGAGATGAAAAGAAATAGCACAAAGTAAGCTATGGATACTGAAAATGTGTTTAGAGGTAATGAGCAGAGCAAGCAAGATGCTTAAACTTCTTTTCTGACCTGGCAACCAACTGTTAAACCAGATGTGGGTTATCCTGACTTTACAGATTTGGTAGGTGCTAGTGCATGGGAGGCCTGCAAACTCCTCGGGATCAGTCATGATGGAATTCTTTCCTAATTCATGTTGGATAAAGGTTACTGTCACTTCCACAACCATGCTCTATGGATTTTATGGGACAATCTTTATTAGCATAATCGGAAGTTGTGGTGTCACGAGTTTCTGAATTCATCAGAGTGAAGTGCCCTGGGATCAATGGATTAAAGTATACATTCCCTGCCAGCCTTGTGGGGTAAATGGTAATTTTGCAGGCCTAGACAGGATGGTCTAGCCTATATTATAGGAGAGGAAGTCAAAGGTCCTTTAAAGCTTGAACATGGATTATTCACGCTTTACCTACAAGCTCTCATTTATTTTGAAGTAGGTCTTCTCTGAGAGTTAAAGAACTTCTAAGTTTCTATGGATTATTTTCTTTCCTTTAAATTACAGGTGATAATAGCTGTCCAAGTAAAACTTGAACCTAAAATCTCATATAAGCATATAAATGTCTTTTAGGGGAGGTAAAAATAGAAACTTTAAATTACTCTTGTCCCTTTGTAATATAACGAATAGAATTCTGTGAAAAGTTTCTTGGGTAAAAGTGGAACTTGCTTTTCCCTCTTTTAATTGTTGACTTTTGCACAAATGCATTATCCTCATGCTTAACAACATGAACTAAAAAGAAGAAAGGCAAGGAAAGGAGAATGGAACCGAAACATTGCTGAGCAAACTTAAGGAGTGGTAGACTTTTAAATAAGATTTTTCTTCTCTGTTTTCCAGATTCAATATTGTATAAACATGGGTGCATTTTTGGATAAACCAAAAACTGAAAAACATAATGCTCATGGTGCAGGGAACGGCTTGCGTTATGGCCTCAGCAGTATGCAGGGATGGAGAGTGGAAATGGAAGATGCTCACACAGCTGTTGTAGGTATTCCCCATGGCTTAGAGGACTGGTCCTTTTTTGCTGTCTATGATGGTCATGCAGGATCTCGTGTTGCAAATTACTGCTCAACACACTTACTAGAACACATCACTAACAATGAAGACTTTAGGGCAACAGAAAAACCTGGATCTGCTCTTGAGCCTTCAGTGGAAAACGTCAAGAGTGGAATCAGAACTGGCTTTTTGAAAATCGATGAGTATATGCGCAATTTCTCAGACCTCAGAAACGGGATGGACAGAAGTGGCTCCACAGCAGTGGGAGTTTTGATTTCCCCTGAGCATATGTACTTTATCAATTGTGGTGATTCACGTGCTGTTCTCTATAGGAATGGACAAGTCTGTTTTTCAACACAAGATCACAAACCTTGCAACCCAAGGGAGAAAGAGCGAATCCAGAACGCAGGAGGCAGTGTAATGATTCAGCGTGTTAATGGTTCATTGGCAGTTTCTCGAGCTTTGGGGGACTACGACTACAAATGTGTTGATGGCAAAGGCCCTACAGAACAACTTGTTTCTCCAGAGCCTGAGGTTTGTGAAATTTTAAGGGCAGAAGAAGATGAATTTATCATCTTGGCTTGTGATGGAATCTGGGATGTAATGAGCAATGAAGAGCTCTGTGAATTTGTTAAGTCTAGACTTGAAGTATCAGATGACCTGGAAAAAGTGTGCAATTGGGTAGTGGACACTTGTTTACATAAGGTATGTATTTGTTTTCCCCAAATAGATGTTCTAAAACTACCTTCTAAGTGTTTAGGTGGGTACAGTGTTGACAGCAGTTCCTGGCCTGCTCTACCCCTTCTCCCTCTTCCTTCCCTCATATTTCTCTACCTATTTGACTGCATATCCTTGCTGAAGATTAAACCACATCATATCATATATTGCGGCTGGAGCAATTACCAAAATAAAGCTTTAGTGTTTTCTCAAAGTTGTAAATGGTTCCAGCTCTACATTTTGTTTCCAAACACAAGTTCTTAAAAATGAATAAAACTACGCACAAGGTTTTTGGTTTAGTTTTTGTTCTTTCAAGTTAGGCAGTGTTTGCATCCTTTATATAAAACCTATGCCTGCACTATTTCCTCCTCAAGGTGTGATTTGTCTGTCACCTGAAGTGGTGTCCCCAGCTCAGTGTTCTAGGTCAGGTGGAGAAGCGCTAACTCTACATCTGAGCTTGCTTGTGCTCCTCAAACTAAGTTCGTTTGGAGCAACTGCAGGTTGGTCTGCAAATGTTTCATAGGCATACCATGAAAAGTGCAGTGTGTTCCTGCTAGTGTGAACAGAGTTCCTTCATTATGTTAAAGATGGAAAATGCCATTTTGAGAAAATATTGAAGTTTAGAATTTTAACACCAAAGGGTAACCCCCTTCTGTTGCTGCCAAATAGCAAGGGTTGTATTTCTACCTCTGCCATACCTTGATCAGTTTAAATGTCATGGCTTTTCTGTTGAAGCACGTGACCAGCCTTGTTAATGGATTGTCACTCTAGTATACTTTCAGTAAGACTGAGCCCTGGCCTTGTGTTTAGTTTCTCAAGATCAGATAATGGACATTGCAGTGTGTGACAAGATGAGAATGTCGTCATCTACATTCTGTGTGAATTGTACTGCATAGTATTTATTAACTGCTGTTATAAGGTAGGCATCACCATACATTTGCTATGGAAGAAAACTGAGAATAAATCCTAAGTACTTGTGAAGGGATTTATTCTTCTAACATCCTCCTTCGTTTCTTCAGGAGAATGAATTGTGGTGGTGGATGGTAAGACCTCTCCAGTAGGTCAGATACAATATGCAATGACCAGTGACGCTTAAATTTCTGTGTTAGTTTGGATAATGTTCTGTTTACATAATGATTGTTATAAAGTTTTCAAACTTAGTGCAAGAAGAGAGAATTTCACAGAACTCTCCCCCCTGCCCGCCCCCAAGATCTTAATTTCAAACCAGTAATATTGCATTGCTACTAAAATCTTCTATAACCCTTCCACGTGAAGTCGAGAGTTTCAACTAAGGTTCTGCTGCATCTCCTCACAGGAGGATCAGACAGTGTGGATAAGAGCCTTGATGTCTTTTCAAATTCACATATGGATTATAATTTTGCAAATTAAACTTGAGCAGAGAAATAGTATTGGAGTTTACTAGTGGAGCCTTTTAATACATGAAAAAGCTGTTTGTTTGATGTTGAGCGCATGGCAGTCTGTAAGGTCAGTTTTGCCATACTAAATGAATTCATATTTTGCAACTTACTTCCATTGAGGTGCTAGGTATGACTCAGGTGCATTCTGAACAGACTTGTAATGATATATAATCAAACTGAAACAAATTAGGAGGTCTAGTTAGTTCTTTCAGTAGTCTAAATCTAAAATAAACGTTCTGCATTTCATTTTGCAGCATCAGTTGGTTTTTAATTAGGCTCTGGGTAGCAGTAAATAACTCCTTAATCTATTATCTGTTTTCTTAATGTTATTTTTAAACAGTTGGCATATAAAAACAATAAGTTCATTAAATATATTAAACTTTAAGACTTAAAATGTATGATAAAATCAGTAAAATTAACTTTAACCAGCAGTTTAGTTGAAACTAGCGTTATAAATAAGAGAGTCTTATTAATGAAAATACAGTTTTATAGCTAAGTTGATTTTTCCCAGATAAATTGGTAGTACTGTGCTTGGAAGAAGTGAAAATGTAATTAATAACAAGGACAGAAAAGGAAAGATAAGACTAAAGATCCTAATTTTTTTTTTTTTTTCCTTTTTCATATAGGGAAGTCGTGATAACATGAGTATTGTACTAGTTTGTTTTTCAAATGCTCCTAAGGTCTCAGATGAGGCAGTGAAAAAAGATGCCGAGTTGGATAAGCACTTGGAATCACGGGTTGAAGGTAAGAAATTCATTTTGTTCATTAGAAATGCTGTTGTCTCTTGATCATAAAAGCAAACAAAAACCCCTGAAAGCCATCGAAACTTTATATACTGGATCAGATTCAGGCCTGGTTGCAACTCTGAATTTTTATGTATTTGGGAGAAATGTTTTAGCCATGTGGTTAGCTTATCCTTGTATACCACAAGCATTTTCTTAATGTAAGCTTTAGGTTAGCACTTCTGTCCTTACAAGACAAAGTGCAACCACTGGCCTTGAGGAGGGTTGTTATCAGCTAATTAAATTGTGATACTGTTAACATCTTGCTTACAAAATATGGTTAAAAGAGATGCTTGTGATACATACTCCCTTGTTTTTGTGGAAGTTTGACAAAAAGGGAAAAAAAGCTATCCTGTTCTGCATGAAGGGGAAATTTATTCATCTAATTATCCAAGCATTTTTAACTTTGACTTCTTGTATTTAACACATCTTTGAGCTAATTTGCCACTGTGGACTTTTTAAAATGTATTTTTTTCTGAAACTTAGCGAAGTAAATGTAAATGATGAGAATATATATGAGTGCAAGAGCCTTAAAGTATTCTTTCAGATTCTGAATGCATACCAAGTGTAAAATGTTATATCTATGAGAAGAATCACCTAACCATCTAGAATTTTTGTGGAGGACTAAACTTAATTCCTGACCGTTCTGTTTAGTCACTGATTTTATTACTCTTTGTATTCATCCAAAAATACAACTTCTTCCCTTCAGCAGAAACAGTTGGAGGAAAGGTATCTTGACTGAGAATGAAAGGTTTGCTCTGGTGTTTTTATTCCTATTCTGCAGTATTCTTAATGTCTGAAAAAAACAATGTGTGAAGCAGATGCTGTTGCTTCTAATTTAAAATTGTCCATCGTGTATTGAGGCTCTTCTAAGGACCGACGAGGCATGTATATGTAGTGGCCTCTGAATCTCTTCTCTCTTTGATTCATGTAGTGATCCAGGTACAGCTCAGAGTTTTGGTGGAGTTGACTGAAGCTCAGTGTTGATACTGTATGTTTGCCTTTTTTATAGGATTGATCACATGGTGGCACAAGTCTTCAAAGAAGCAACCGGGCATGAAAGGGGGGCTGCTCTTGGAGTAGGTTGTCTTGCTGTTATGAATGTTGCTAGGGTAGGACTGTACAACAGCATCATTAGAGAGAAGCAGTCTTCGGAAGTTTTGAAAGTCTTAGTATGATCCTTTAAAACTTCTTTAATCTCCTGAGAGGACTAATGAAGTGTCACTCATTTACTTAATGATGATGAAGTTCATTGGATCTATCAGTTACAGCAACAGTATTCAGGGAATTGGAAGGGCTTACTGAAGAGCAAGTTGGCTGAGAGAGAACTGAGATATTTCTGAACCCTTTTTTGATTTGTTTCAGGTCTAGAATAGATTATTCTGACCGCTATATCCAAACTTAGTTAAGTTGCATGCAGAGCTGGTCCCTTTGTAGATGGGGAGTGAGTCATGCAGCCTTCTTAGATGTCTTTGTAGCTTTTTGCCACATGCCAAGGCCAGTGTTTCAGCGTTAGACTAAATTTTGCTGTCCTGACAATGCTTTTCTGTGTTCATATTGAAAAATACAGCACTGGCAGTCTGCGGGACTATTCAACTGGCATATGTAAACAACGTTGCTGAAAGTAATCTTAAATCTTAAATTTGGTTCCCAGGACACATGGAACATTGCAGGTCAGAACCAGCAAGAAGCCATCTCCGTCTTGAGACTATATTGAAATCCTAATGGCTTAAACCACAGCTGGGGCCATTGGCAGCCTGAGCTGGAGCCTTTTTTATGAAGGAAGGCATGACTGGCTAAATGTTCTCAATTTGGGTCCTGAAACTTTCCAGGCACCCAAGCATGGTGTGTATAATCTGTTGTTGAGGTAAAATACTTATTTTTCTTTCTTAGGACTATTTGATGAGAAGTATCAATATAGGACTCCAACACTGTCACATAGTAGATAGATTTAGATAGATTCCATTTCTGTTTTTTGTTGGTTTATTTGAATATCTGTGAGAACTAGTGGCTTTTTAACATGCAGCAATGGATGCTTACAGTACTGTTTGGTCATGCTTTTATTGCAAAGTAGTTCATATCCAAATAAAAAGGGCTAGATAGAATGAGATGTAATTCTGCACTGTAGATCTGAGAGGATCAGGAATCTTTTGAGAGTGTATTTAAAAGAAAAATAAAAAAGCATACAGCTAACCATTCATAACTTTACTTAATACTAAGTGTAAAAAAAAAAAAAAAAAAAAGACTATTGGAACATACAGCGTAACCTGATTGCCACAGGGGGCGGGGTGGATTTAAGTCAGTTTTGACATTTTAATATCAGAAATCCTCCAACTTATTTTAATGCCATAAATGACATTTATTGTAGATACTTTGTTGTTTAATTTCTCATTTGTGTGAAACAACTGAGAAAATCACTTGTACTCTTGGCCTGGATGTATGTATTACATTTTTTTTAAGTTCTTGTGTAACCGAGTGAAATAAATGAATTTAGATTTTGTTTTCCCTGTTTGTGTTACTGTCTCAGTAATCTAGACAATTGAGGAAACTGGTATAACAAACCTTAACTTTTAAATGTATAAAAGATGGCATTCAGGCCACGATACAGCAAGGTATCTCTGAACATGGACATGTTTGTGCATGTGGGTTTTTTTTTTCTTCATTTTCTTGTTTAAATAGGATCTAAACTGGGTACCTGAAATGGCATGCATGTTTGTTTCTGTTGAGATTAGTGGGGAGCTAATGGTCACTTGAAATGCTAACTCTAGGCATGTTTCTCAACTTGGCTTACATCCCAGGCTTCCTAGATGACACTGGTTGAGATAAATACCTATTATCTGCCTATGTCTGAGTGAGTACACAAGCTGTTAATAGATTCTGGGAGAAAGCCAGGAACAGTTACCTCCACTGTCAGCAGTTACGTGCCCACAGAATGGTTATGAGTTGGCATTCTTAGGTTCTTGGTGTCCTCTCAATGAGTGAATAGGTGAAAAATATATAGAGCTGTTGCATGTTTATTGCTTTTGTAAGTGAAAAGGTTATTAGAGGACTGTCAAATAACTTCTAGTTGGATTGACTGAATTAAGTGAGGAAATGATATAGGAAGCGCTATTTAAAAGTAACAATTCAGTGTTGTGACATACTTGAGTTACCTCTTCAACCCAATGGTATTGCTTCTTAGCAGAAACATGTTTTACCTGTGTTGTCACACTTTAACAAATGCTACACACACAAAAAACTTAGCGGAGAGTTTGAGAGTTACTCAGTGTAACTCAAGATGATTGCTAAGCTTAAGTACTCAACAGAAATGTGTTGCTTCAAAGCTTGTCACTGTTGTTACTTCAGCTGTTCTTAATTTTTGCTACATGAGTTCCCAGTGTCATTCTTTGTTCTGCTAATTGGATAGAGTGCATGACCTTTAAATGTCAAGTATTCAACAAGGAATGAGTGTTAGCATATTTGAGGAAATTCTACCAAGAATTGAAGAAAACAAAGAAAATGGAGAATTCAGAACTTGAAGTATACCCTTCTAGTTTTCTTAAAAAAAAAAAAAAAAAAAAAATTTGCATTCCTAATAAATTGTATGAAACTGACAGCTTGACACAATGCTTTCTTAATTTAAATAAATAGTAAATTTTTGTCCAAGGAGTTGCTGGACTGGAGTTTTCACATTATGTTTGTGTCTAAAGTATTATTAGGTCAGAAATGATGCATAGAAGCTTGAAGAAAATCTTTCAAACTGCTCAGTAGCATAGGAAAGAATTTAGAAAGTCATTGGATTCTAAATAAATTAGTCTGATTTTAAAGTTTTACATGGTGAGCAGAAATGTTCTCATAGAAAAGCACAATCGCAAATATTGTAGTAACAAAGAAAAGTTTTGGAAGGGTGGAGCATCGTGCTGATCAGGAAGGGACTGACTGCCTTAATCAGTTTTGCATCCATCCATCTAAGCGTAGTCTGGAAAGCAGTGTATAAAAGGGGCAATGCCTGAAAGATTGAACTGCCTTTAATTCTAAAAACTAAACTGGTAGATAAGTTGTGATTGTTGATAGTATGGGTTTCTGCTGCTTTTCAACAGACAAATTCTATTTCTTGGATTCGTTCTGAATATAGTTTATGCCTCTAGGATAGCCTTGTTCAGGGAGGCATATTCATACATCTTACTCATAGTTCTGACTTGTTTTGAAGCTCTGAACCTGGTAGGTTAGGCAGAAACTCTGTGCTAAGTTCACGTTCAGGTACCTATGTTCACTTGCAGCAAGTGGCTCTATAATGAGTATCTGTAGTAGATTTACAGATGTTTAAAAGGTCAGACTAGAAGACAGTTTCTTTCAAAAGGAAAATAACTGACTTTGTTCCCCTTATAGTATGCAATAATGTTTCTTTCTCTATTAAAGAATTAACAGCTCACAAGTTGTGCAAAGTTGAATAATAGCCAATAAGAATAATTTTTATTTATGTCTGTAGTAAAAACATTCCGAAAAAATCGGCCTTTCCTTGAACTGTTGAACTGCAGAAATGGAGGCCCAATGAAAAAACACAAGCTATGAGTTCTTAGATGCTCTTATTTCTCAATAAATGATTTTAAATCAGAGTAACGTTTGTATTTTATATTAAATCATTTGGGACTTTCTGAAGCAATTTTAGTTTGATATACAGTATTCGTTCTTAATGAACATTTGCAAAATGGCAAGTTTTTTTTTTTTTTTTTTTTTCTTGTGGGCCTTAAATTTCAAGCTGAGTTGGACTATCCTATCAAACCTTTAAGACTTTTTTTTTTTTTCAGTACTACACTTGGGCATCTTAAGCTTTGGCTTACAAGGGCTTTGTCTGAGGCATAAGGTAGTCTTCTGTCAAAATTTCTTAGTGTTCAAAAGCATTTTTATACTTAAACATTTAATTTTTTGCAGTCTACTTTTGAGTCTTACAGAATTAAATTTAGGGCTTAAGAGTAGATCCTGTGTGTTAGTGAATGATTTGACTTCAGTAGTTTCATAATGTATTTTTAAAGTTCTTTAAAACAAACCTCCAAACTTGCCAAGTGATAGTCTATGTGGATTTGTAATAAAGAGTAGTATACCCAAACTCTTAAGCTAGTTTGGATCTTGACATTGACAGAATGTGTATAACTGCATGCCAAAGTTGGAAACTACAAGAATGTTCTGAAATATTTATGAGGTTGTAGTCAATGGCTTGTGGTCAAATCATTTATGACAGTGGATATAGTGATACTTTGTTTTTTTGAGTTGCTTAATTGGCTAATTTTCAAAATATTACAGGTGTCTTGAACAATATTAAGCCATAGTAGGTCCAGAAGTCAGGCTTTTTTTATTGCCACTTTCAAATGCTACTTTGTGTTCTGTTTACTTACCTGTTTTTTTAGAGATCCACTGATAGGTCAAAGGGAGAGAAAATTAGGCGTAAATCAGTTCTCCTGGCATGTTTCAGTTTATTTGAAAGGATCCATCAGAGGGGGAGATTTAAAGCAAACAAAAAAAAACCCAACTCCCAAATCCTCTAAACACAATTGCTCTATGTAGATTGAAATAGTTGTAACTAATTCCATACAGTAGTAGATGAGTACTCAGTACAGTGAGTTGGATAGTGTATTTTTATATGTGGAATATGCACAGTACATAAAACTGTTCTGGGGCATTGGAGTCAGACCAGAGAAAAGTGGTGTTGTCTTTCCCATGTCATAATCTTGTAGCTAGACATCAGCAGAGATGTTTGAAAGTAGAAAGCTGTTGCAGTACTATCTGGTTGGGGATCTATATTTGGGAAAATATCTGCTTTGATATGAAATTTGAGTAAAAATTTGTCTGAATTCTCAGAACGATTGTCCATCTTAGAGTTAAGTGTTAGGCTTTTAACTGAAAGTACTTTGAAAGTAAAGTAGCGGATTTTATTTAATAGGGGACTTTTCATGGATTTCATGTACAGGAATATCAGGAAATGATTCTTCATATGTCTAACTTTGTTGTATTAGCAATACAGGGGTAAAAGTTCCTGCAATCGTGTTTTTCGCACATTAGGGGAAAAAATTTTAATCACAGGATTTGTCTTAGTGTAGCAGAGAGAAGTGAAGATCTTGTAAATTCATACACATCTGTGGTTCAAACACCTCTGAGGATGTGAGGATTTTTTTTGAATTCTGAAACCATGTGGTTTCCTTCTGTAGTGACCTTTGTCAAGCAAGTCCACAGCATGTATGTGTTAACTAATGTGTAATGAAAAAAGGTCATGTTTGGTCATTTACTTTATACTTGGGTTTTCTATTAAGCTGTTCTTGGCAGAAGGGAAAATGTGTTTTTCTTACTACATACTATGTATGAAATTATTCATGCTAGCAACAGGGAAGGAAACAGCAGATGGTCAGGTTCACCAGCGCTACTAATGAAGATTCAGTATGCTTGAAAAATTGAGCGAAGTTGCTCTTGGTCCAGTTCAGATCTCTCTAGGACATAAAGTAAAAGATTCCAGTACAAAGAAATGTACATTTAATTCAGTTGTAACTATTTAAATTCCTCTTTAAGAAAATACAGAAATCTTGTGCTTGCATTAATATTTAGCCATTGATTATTTCTACATCCTCTTTTCTTATTAATTCAGTGCTATTTGTCCACTTTTAGTACATACCCACAGCACATCAAGTTCTGTATGAAAAGCGGTATAAGCATAAGACGCTTCCTATCAGATGTAACTCAGCAAAATTAAATTATGCTGATAAGCAGTCTGCTTTTTACTAGGTAGAACTGCACAAAAGGAGGAAATCTGTAAGAGGACTTGTGACTGATTTATGCCTGAAAAATTAAGTGTGTGAACGTGTATGGGAAAATAGCGGTCAAAGTCTTAAGAGCTTAAGAATCAAGCACAAAAAACTTAGCTGTCACTTTCTGCATTAGCCATAATTTATTCTCAGTGGGTGTGTGCACATTAGTATACACAAAAATTGTCATGGAAGAACATGTAATTGCTTTTAGTAGAATTCCTGGCTTGCTGATTGCAGAGATTGTATGGTGCTGACTTAAAATTGTAGCCTGGAAGCCTGATGCTGTATTTGATGCAGGTTAGCCAAGCCCTTCCAAAGCCAGAATCTCTTTTGGTGGGCCTTCCTACAGATCTGTCCCATAAGCAAGTGCCCAGCAAGTACTTTGTTCTCAGTAGCCCCAAGAGAAGCCTGCTTATCATTTGCTTCATAGATAGGTAATGGAGATCAAGGGAAGATAAATACCAGGAAACTTGGGGTGCAGTGTTCTACACAGGTGACATGTTTTTTTCCTAACTTCAGAAACTCAAGCTGTAGCTTGTAATTTAATTACAGATTTTGAATCAGGCACCCAGAAATGGCAGATTTACCATTTCAATTTTTAGGATAATACTTGGGAGAACTCTTTCTTCTCAATTCCTTTTTGTGACTCAAACCAAAAAAAATCTCATCTGACATAATCTCTACAGGAAATTTATAGATAACTTAGAACTTTTTTCTACCGTAGAAGTTGAATGACTTGAGGCTGATGACTGGAAGCTGATGACGTTTTATGCCTATGCATGTGTATAGAACTGTTACTTGCCTTACAGCAGCTTTGAGGAGTAAGAACATGTGAAGATTGGCTTCATAGTCGAAGCAATTTTTTCCAAGACAGAAAAAGTTACTGCTACTGGTTTTGTGTGATAATAAAAAAATTTGAGCTGTAGAGAAGTGAACTTCTGCTTTGAAAATAGACAACCATATTATCAAATATTGGTTGTGACAGTGCTGTATTCTGTTTTGGTCACTGGAGTGGCAGTCAGTTGCTATACATGCCTTTTATTGCATGATAGTCCTAGTGTTTATTGACTAGAGATTCAGGACTTTGAGACTATGAAGTGTTATTCACAATACGATATGCCAGTCAATTTCTGGGAAGCGTTGGCTTTATGGCACGTGATTTGTGAGTATGTGCTGCAGTGCAATGGGAAGGTACTTGAATCAGGCTCCCAGCTGTCATCTTTCTGGGAGAGAACGTGCTATTGTCTCCAGAGTATTTCATCCAGCTGACAATCTGCTTCTGAGTTTCTTCAAGTTGCTAGAAGCGTGCTGGAAAGGCAGGCTATGAATTTGAGTAACTGTTCCACCATGCAAATGTTGTTTACCTGTAATATAAAGAATGTTCTCCTGTTTACATGTGACTTTTTCTTTTTATGCATGATGTCTCTGGGTAAAACATGATAGTATCTTGTATTTTAGTGTCTAAAGGAAAAGGTGATTTTAATTAAGTAATCTGAGGACCTCTTCTGTTTTTGAATTAGAAATTATGGAAAAATCGGGTGAAGAAGGAATGCCTGATCTTGCTCATGTCATTCGCATTTTATCTGCGGAGAATATCCCTAATTTACCACCAGGAGGTGGTTTAGCTGGCAAGTGAGTACAGTCCTGACGTTACTTACAACTGTTTTATTTACCGAAATAAATACTTAAATATTTTAAAGCTTTGTCATTGCAAGAGGTGAACTCAAGTTAATTAAAGCTGTTTTTCTGTATTTTAAGCTAGTTTACCTTTTGTATTACTTTTCTGTCCTCCGTTCCCAAAGGGTAAGAGGAAACAGATTGATTACGTTCTGGTACATAAAGTACCAGTTTACTCTTTCCATATGGCCATTCTAAAAGATATAAAAATGTTTGGCTTTTTACTGCTTTACATTTGTTAAGGATTACCAATAATGTAATAGGGATCATAGCAAAGTATCAATTTAGACAATGCTCTTGATGTCGTTGTTCTCCTCTTCCCTCCCTCCAATGTCCATTATATTTTTGGATCAATGCCTGTTTGCCTAGTTTGCGTGATCATAGGAAAATTACTCTTGTTGTTGTTATTTAGTCTTAAACTGAACACTAGAGAAGCAGGAATATTAAAGGTTGGGATATGTATCTTAAAATTCAGATTAAGTGCTCACTCAAAGTCAGAAATTACACTTTTCTGGGGAGGCTTATGGTGGTGTTTTAACAACCCATAAATCCTGTTTGTTGAAATCATTACATGAGGGTTGTATAGGCGGTTTTTAACCTAAAGCTCCTCGAACAGAGATCCATTGTCCCTCTCAGGCGCAAGCCATGCTGCTTGTAGAATCTCCACCCCCTCCCCCCCCACCCCAAATTTAAGTCCTGTCCTCTGAGTATTTGGGTATGCATACATTTTAAACACTGCTTTCTGTGATATATTTTCTAGCCTCAAAAGAACCTGTACATTCTGGGCCTTTTTCTCCACTTGTGGGCATTCCAGACATTCAGAGAAGGTGTGGTGTGTGTATTCTTCCTAGTCCCTCCCAACTGCTGACAGAGTTGGAGCATCTCCTCTTCTTGCTCATTAACTGCATCATGTTCTGCTTAGTTTTTTTTTGAACTTTTGCATATAAATTCTACTTACACTCATTTGTGGTGACCCAAATTACTACTTCTCTTTTTAATGAACTTGGGTTCGGGGTTTGTCTTGAAAGTGTCAGCTCTGCTTTGGTTACTTGATTGTGATATGCTATCCTCTTAAAGGTTGGCTCTTCAGAGACTGACTTCTGGCCTGACTCGTATCCTGGTGTAACGTCAAATTTTGCCAGAAGAAGGGTCACTTCTTGCAGAAGAGACAAAAAAACTTCTGAGCCATCTTTTCATTTGGTCATTAATAGTTCCACTTAAAGTCTTGCTGCTGAATTCTCCTTTAAAGGAAAATACAAATAAATTTGCTGTACAAAGGAAGCAATTGTGCAACGAATCACAAAGATGGGAAAATTCCTAAGGGACCTGAGCATGAAGTATGACTTACACCCTCTGCAATGGCTATCTGCTGCTTCCATGGTCACCTTGCTTGGACTGTCCAGCTGATTTGTATTACATTGGTATGAGGTACCCTTGTGCTCCATAGTGCAGACAATTAGTCAATATTGTGCCAGTGCACCGTCATTAAATGTGGAATTGCCTAGAGAGAGCCCTCTCCTGTATTTTCTGTATAAAGGTTCGGTTTCTTTCCTCTAGAAAGTCTTCCTTCAGTGCTGGTGGATCCCATGCTACATAACTGTTCTAGACTTTTTATTTTTTCTTTAGCTGATATACCCTTAGAGCAGCTGTATTCTTTAGTGACTTCTCACGTCAGGCTTTACTTCTGGAGTTGTCACTACCAAGTTAATTGTGATGCATGCCTATTCAGTCTGATGGAACTCAGTGTTGTATGGAGACCCTTTCTTCTAATTTTTAGGTGTATCTGATTCTGGAATAGATGCTAACGTTTCTTCAGTCTAACTCTTCCTTCTCGGTGACACCTGCTACCACAAAGAAAGGAGGCTAGAGTTTCTGTGTTATGGAAAGACTATAACTGATGGAACCACTTGGGAAGTCTGAGGGTTGCAGCAAGGAGTGTTGTTTTAGGATAGTCATAACGATTATAGAATTGACTGTGCCGCTGGAAGTGTCAGAAGCTCGTAAAGCATAAGGGAAGACCTTGCTGAATGCTGATACTTTGTACCTGATTCTAGTGACCCTGAGAAGAAAGGAATTTCATGTTAGTTCTCTAGTATGTGCAAGAAAATGAAGAGTGTTTTTCAATAATTCAAATTCAAAACAAGGACTCTATCAGTAATACTTTCAGAAGTGGGACTGAGTAATGGAAGTGTCATGTAAGATGAGCCTGCACTGTGAATATGTTTGTTTCCTCATAAGTCATGACCATCACTAATTTAGTCTAGTGCAACAAGGGTTTCAGTCCTTTCATATCAAACATGGCAGGATATAGAGATCCCTTATTTGGGCAACCTTTTTATAGAAAAGAAAAGACTATTTATATCATGACAAACACGATTGCTTCAGAAGCTGTAAACTCCGTAACTTTCAGGGTAAGTATTCGAAACCTACATCCAATTTCCACTTGGCTCCAGGAGTTTACAGTAGCACTGCTGGATTCCTCAGAAGTTAAGGTTTCCCTTCCTCAGGAGTAATTCTGCTCTTTGAGAAGTATTCTAACGCGTACTGTAACCAGCTGTAGGCCGAGATACCTTTGAGAGCATGGTATCAAATCGTGCTGGTCCATGTGAGTGTGTATACTTGACTTCCCTCAATTTATAGTCTATCTTCTCATTTGAGGCCATGCTGGTAGTGATGCTGAATTAAGTTTGGAAATTCCCTCACTGGTGGTAAGTTTTAGGTGCTGTCTTCTGGAGAAGCTGCTTCTCCAGAATTCACCTAAGTCAAGGAAGACCCTTGATTCTTCTAAGGAGGTTTCTTTCCTGGAGCTCAAACATGGCCCAAAATGTGAACAAGCTGAAGTTGTATATGCACCAATGTCTTGAAGCTCTGAGTTGTCAGGCATGTCTGTTGTGCCTGCCTTCTGCTTGTCTTGGCATGGTATGTTTAGATAACTGCGGACGACATCATCATCTACATATTTTACATCTAGAAGCACGCTGGCATGATGTCCTTTCAGTGTTGTAGGTTTGTGGTCACCCTGGGGTTTGGTGCACTGTCCCTTACATTCACTGGACTTCATCTCCCAGGACTCTGGGTGTTTTGGTAGGTACACTTAAATGCTGGATCACGACTGGAAAAATGTATTCAGATACTGAACACCAGATACTGAGATTACCTGGCTTGCTGCTTTGGCTCAGAATTCCATGTACTCGCAACATTCCATTCAAAAACTGAGCTCTTTGTATTTGAATGTGCTTTTGCTTCTGTGGTGTGAACACAAGAATTTATCATACCAAATCAGACCAAGGATCATTCTAGCGCTATATGCTGTCGGTTGAATAGCTGAAAGTAGATACCTAGGGAGGAATATAAGAACAGAAAAACATATAACATACTCCGCCTATTATTGTTTCGACTTCCAGCTTTTAGCACCTTAGAAGCTTCCTGAGCCTAAGGTGATTTTATGCATTTAGTAACCTCTGGAAATTTCTCTTCACTGCAGTTAAATACATTCAGGAGAAGTATAGTCAAACTTCTAGCATCCTCAGTAACCTTTGGCAAAAAGTTCTGTTGCATCAAGAGCCATCACTGCTTATTTTTAAGCCTGTCTCTTACTATCTTCATCTGATGCCCTTGTGCTTTTTGTTCGGAAGAGGCAATAGTAAGTACTTATCCACACACTGTTATATCACTCTTATCCACATGCTGTTACCATTTTTATACTCTTGGCCTCTTCCAGACACAAGTCTTAGTTCACATGGCTGTTCCTTTTTATGGAAAGTGTCAATAACTTTTTAAAATCGTATTTATAATCCTTCTCTGAACTTTTTCCAGTTCTCATTTTGATTTGAAGATGCAGTGACATAACTGCATGCTGTATTGAAGATATGGTTGTGCCAGGGCATTTGTTTTGTTATTTCCTGGTTGCCAACTTTTGATTTGCCTTTTTAGTGTCTGTTTGTACTCAAGTCTTCCTGGGGAAAACTGTAACTCAAATCTTGCTTCTGAGCCTAATGGTTGACTCGGAGCCCATCACTCAGTATGTGAATTAAGCGCTGCACCTCGTCATGTGCTTCTCTTGCATAGAATTAAATTCCATTAGATTTCATTTATTGTGCTGTTACTCAATTTCATAAGGGTCTTCAACCCCTCTTCAGTGTTGATCCTTGTCTTAGAGTTCTTATCTGCAGGACAGCCAAATGGGATTTCACTTGGACTCTGGCTGAACGACTGTTTTCTTGGAGGCAGCACTGTCCCAGCAAACTTGAAGTTCTAAAACCCTTCTCACATTTTTTTCATGGAGGAAGGATCAGGGATCTGACTATATTGACAACAGTCTTGAGGAAAGGAGTTTACCTTCTTGTAAATGCTATTCTTTGGGTTGTGTCTCCACGTTTGCAAACGTCCTTCTCCTCCCGCCCCCAGAAGTCAGTTTCCATTTTTTTGTTTTTGTTTTGAATGCTCATCTTGCTTGCCTTTTATGATGATGGCCTCATATGATGCTGCTGAAGGAAACCTAGGTAGTGGTATTTGGGTTTTAGTGTCTACAGTGTGAATAGACACTGGACTACATACCTCAAGAGTTATAGGTACTGGAAAAAACCTCAAAAGATTAGAGGTAAGTAGTAGGCTGTCTATATGTAATAAAACAAAAAGTGTCTTCAAATTTCACATCCAAAAATATGACAAGAACGACAGCTAACTGCAGTAACTTTGCTGCAATAAGCAAAATAGAGTTAAACATTGATCTCGACAAACATCTGACTGTGCAGCTGGAATTTTTAAAGGTGCAAAAGGGATAACCATTGGGAAGGGGAAGGCAGAAGGTAAGAGAATGTTTTGCCTTGCTCAGTCTTCACAAATACTGACTTGCATATTAAATCCTTAAACATATTGCAAGTGAATAGAGATAGTGGTAGTGGATTTCATCTTTTCAATAGGCAGGTTAAGGGCAACACTTCTAAATGTTTTGAAATCCTTTATTATTGTGCTCAAGCTTCTTAAAACTTCTCTTTTTAGGCGTAATATTATTGAAGCTGTGTACAGTAGGCTGAATCCACACAGAGAGAATGAGGGGGTAAGTTCCGATATTGATTGTTATGCTTATTTGTTAAGGAGAACATCAAAATAGTTTATACTTTAAGTAGAATAGTACCTCACTGTCAGTAAAGTTTCATAAACGTGAATTGTGTATCATAGCATACAGTGCATTTTGATTTTGTTTTACATACTAAATATCAAAGAACTTCATCCTGAAAAAGATAGCAAGTTTCAGTGGTACCCATTTCTGAAAGACTTTTTTTTTTCTTTATGATTGATTACTGCTTTTTTTGGTCAAATCTGTGAAGCAGCAATGTAGGGTTTTTTCTTGTTGAAAATTATGGTCAGCATATTCATTACTCACCTATGTCTTATGGTTAGTATCCGGAAATCTAACAGAACAGTGCAAACACACCTCCTGTTTTCTTCTCTATGTATACAAGACATTTGTTCACTGAATATAACAGATGAGACGATATTGACTACTCTTGTTTTGTGTGTTATCTTTTAAGTATCGTATGTGCAGTGGTCGAGGACAAGTGTAAATTGATGCTTTGGGTTTATTTTGGTTCTGAGTTCTAAAATGGCTTACATCCATCTGCCCGGTTCCTAATAAGTTGAGTTGAAAAACTTAAAAATACATTTTGTTTATATTGAAATATGTTTTACTGTCACTTTAAGATGAACCCAATAATCAGGTTTAAAATTTACTAAATAAGAGCTGGTGTTCATAGCAGCTGTAGTTAAACTGGGGTGTGTCTGTGTGTGTGTATATATATATGTATATAAACTTGCACAGCCACATTGTCTTCTGCTGTACAATTTCTTATGTGAACTAATCTGTGAACGTACTGTGCATCTCCTGGTAAATCCTTTTGTCATCACTCTTTTAACTGAGATGGCTACAAGATTGTCTATCAGGAAGTCATGATTACAGTGAAAGGTGTTGGAGGAATGTCTGCTTTTATTTTAAATGCTTCAAAAAGATTAGTTGCATGTTCACAATCTCAAGGTGCAAAGCGTTACTACAGTTATCCTTGTGTCCGTCCTCCCAGTGTTATCTTTTCTCTTGATTACCTTTATTTAGTTCTTTCTCTAAAAGTGAGAAAGCTACGTAGGTGGGAGGGGACACTAATCTATTATAGTAGAGAAATGGAGAAGAAATCTCACCTTTTCTTTGTTTGTTTTTATTAGGATTTGCTCCTCTCTGTTTTTTAATTCAGGAGTGGCAGAGTATGCACTTCTCACTTAATTTTCTTTAAACTGTGTACCAGTACCAAAAAACAAGTTAGACAACAGTTGTACTATTCAGCTTTATATGTTTAGATAGCTGCAAAATTTTCCTCTTTTCATCTTTCTTAGTCCTTCAGGAAACTCTGCACCTTCATCAGCCTTTTACCACTGTTCATATGTAGCAGTGATTTTGTTCCTTCTCTTAGTGTTGGGGGAAAGTGATTTATTTGAAGATTATAGCATCCATTTTAAATTTTTTTCAGGAAAAAAAATTTTAGCTTTCTAGAAATGTCCTATTCCCCAGTTACACTTGTGGTGTATCTTTTCCAAAGCCACCTTTATTTCTGAGTAGCTGTGCAAGCTTGCTAAAGTCTTAACATATAGTACAACTTTATTTTGGAAAATGGGTATGTTCAGGATATTTTTGTACATCATCCATTATGATCTAATAAAATGAGGTATCTGAACTAAATAAGCCAGTAAAATGCATGTGCAGGAATATGATTTTGGCCGTATTACTGTTGCACTCAAACCAGAGTGTTGTATTTGGTTTTCTGTTTATGAAATGTGAGCAGTACACTCCAGTTTGCAAAGTAAACTTTGCCTTCTGTTGATATGTAGTACAAATCTTAGTAGTGATCTAAATCATTGTCTATAATGTTCTAAAGTTAAATACCCTTAAATTTTAATTTGATCTTCTATTAAGATGTCTTTCACCAGTTCAGTACCTTTCCTCCGTTCTGTGTCCTAGCTAATTCTGACCCTGAGAAATTTGAGGGGAGGAAGCTGCCACTGTGTGGAGTTTCTTTTTGCACCTTCCCAGCAAGTAGGAATTGTTATCTTACTCTCCCTAAGAGTAGACAAATTCAGTGGGCCTGTTCTCCAAAGTGATGAAAGCATGATTGCCTTTCATTCAATCCTTAATTCCAGGTCTATCTATGGTGGTGATCTTAGTTTTTTGAGCTGGATAGCTGGGAGCAGGAAGGAGGGGGAGAGGAGGGAAGGAAGACGTTCAGTTACCTGATATCCAACTCTGTAAAATGTCTACACCTTGTGATAACGTTGCTACACATCTCACTTTAAAATAGGATGGGAACGTAAGAAGGAAATGCAGTATATCCCAGTGATGACAATTCCAAATGAAATCAAAATATGGCCACAGTAAAAGTATTTGGTAATACTGCAGGACTGAAGCAAGCCTGGCACTGGGCTACAGTACAGCTACAGTAGCTTTGCCAGTGTTTCTTTACGTTTATAACAGAAGTCCCGCTATTGACTTTTGTTCGGTTTTAAGTGCCTTTGAGGTCATACAGAAATCTGTTACATATTGGGGTTTGGTGCTTTCAGGTCTTTGAATGGCATGTAAAATTACTTTGTAGCTAAATAATTGTTACTGTTGTACTGTTACAATTCTATCAAGTCAGTCATTCACCTTACAATTCAAAAGTACAGTTCTATTAGAAGTATTAGATGTTTTCTAATGGCTCTCCTTCTAGGTTGTTTATGCTATTTAGATGTATATGTAACTTTAAACATGAGGAACAATGTTAAAGTTGGTGAGTTGTTACCAGTTTCAGTGGCATTTGTTTAAAGCCAGGTTTATGATTGTGTATTTTGATGGAGACTGTTACTCGCTTACTTTTACTAATACAATGTTCTGGCACTTTACTGAATTGAATCCTGTCCTTATAGGCTGCTGCAGATATTCCTCCCACCCCGGCAAAGTTCTCGTACCCACAACAATTTTACGTCCAGTTTTCCTAGTACTTAGCCATTATTATATACACAATTTAACAGAGCCTTTTTTCATTGTAAAAATTGTCAATGCTTGTGTTAATTAGCAAATCAAAGATTTGAAACTTATGTTTATGGTCAGTAGCAGTAAGTTGAAACAGGGCACTGAAGAAGGCAAATGCTAGCTAGAATAATACTCTCTGTTATCCTCAGGGCTTTCTGGGGACCTGTTCTATACTAGCCACAGATTATTAGTGAGAAATGTATATGATAGTGTCTATATGGTGCATAGCATATAAAACAGGCAGTTTCTGTCCTACTGTTATCTATGGGATTTCTCACTGTCTGACATTGAAGGAGACAGAAGAACAAAACAGCACAGTATCAAACAGGGCACAGAGCAAAGCAGGATTTGTCTTTGAATATCAGAAACAGCGTAACATCAGTTACCTGTGACTCTTAATAACATTTGAATTGTTCGGGAGTCTCTGTGATGCTAGTATATTGCTTATTGGTTTTACTATACAGTATTATAAAGGAGTAAAAATATTTACATTAGTCTGTCAGAAGGGTTTTTAAAGATCTGGATTTGGTGAAACGTGAGGATTTAGGGTCTACACTTCCTAATGCTAACCTCAGAGCAAAACTGATGGGAGAAGGGGCTATGAAACTTAGACATTTTTTGAACTTTACAAAGCTAGTATTCTTCAGCTGATGTTCTTTTTAATATTAGCTAGAGAAATAAGTAAGTAGCATTTTCTGTCAAGATCTAAGAAATGAGTACATGTATAGTTCATCTTGATGTGAGTTTTCAGACTTTGTACTCAAGAGACACTAAGCAGTCCCACTTATGCATTAAAATTAGTTTTTTTTTTTACTTGCTTTCTGTTCACCGATCTCTTCAGGATCTACCTGAGTATGAAAATGCTAGTACATGAAAGTCGGAGATCAGGAAACGATAGTGGAAGTATATACACCCTTATGCAATAAAATAAGTTTTGCGGAATAGCATTGTATGCAGTAATACTGATTTTTGTGGCAAAGTTGTCCCCCTGTAAATTAAACTGTGCTGATCAGTCTTGGTTCTTCTATTCCAGCAACATTAGCATCTGTAATTTTTGTGATCCCAAGATATTGTCTTAATGCTACTATTGAGTTTGTAGATGAGTGATTGAAGTGCTTGTAGCCTTTCAAGCTTCTGCAGTAAATAACAATAAAATGAGGTCAGCGTGAGAAGAAAACAGTGTGGATTTTGCCTCTAACGTATTGCAAAAACTGCCAGCTTCCACTGATCTAGTTTTATCTGACTACCTTGATAAGTTGCTAGATATTAATAATATAAGATGTACTATTCCCTCAGAGCTACAGTTAGGGCTTTGGCACTCTAAAGTTAAAATATCTGATATCAGTCTCGAAGCATTGTAACAGAGAATCATAAGTCTATTTTGCAGAAGCCAACAAAATCCTTCAGACTTTTACTTAACTGAAGGCTTGTTGCCTTCAGTGGTTTGTAGAGTCCTCCATTCCTGAATCAGTGCTTGGTGTTCAGGCTTTGTGATGTCTCTAGTTAGATTTGAGCTTAACTAGGTATTCTATATGTTATTTTTTCTAAGTGATGGCTACATCTGCCAAGAATAGTATGTTACGGGGTTCAAACACCACCACTCCTGGTGCTGATAGATAACTGCTTGTGTCTTTCATGGCCGCATCACGCACACAAAGACTGGATCTTTCATGTATAGGGAATGTTTTCTGAAATACTGAGCCCTTTAAATGTGATGCTGTAACTAAACAGCTAGTGGTGGAACTATCTACTGCTTTCAGTAAGCTTCTCACAGAATGGCATTGCTATTGGCTGTGCAAAAGTTCACAATTAAAATACTGACCTGGTGGCTAAAGGAGCTGAAACGTTCAGGTTTTTCACTATCTGACAACTGACCACAGTTGTGGGGAGGAGTCCGGCTGCATGCACTGAGAGACGATTAGAATGAAGATGGAGTTAATTGGGAGGAGGTACCGTGTTGCCACTGTTCAGCTCAAAAAAAATAGAAATGATTGTCGATGCTGTTTTAATAGGTATCTTCCTGTTTTACAACATGATTTAAAAAGAATCATCCATGTTTGTCTACTTTATAAGGTGTGTTACTAATAAGGTGTCTTTGTATTTAATTAAGACGAAGCTGATGTTTCTTCAGTCAGAAAAAATGTTTTAAAAATGTCTTTCCAAAATATCCGAGTTTAACTACTGATTCTTTTGGGGTCTTGAATCTTAAAAAAAGGACCCTGGCGAAGCCGAGGAAAGTGGAACGCAGGGAAAATTGGTGGAAGCGCTCAGGCAAATGAGAATTAATCATAGGGGGAACTACCGCCACCTTCTGGAAGAGATGCTGACTAGTTACAGGCTAGCTAAGATGCAGGGAGAAGAGTGCACTGCTGACTCAGCTACAGCATCTACTTCAGCTAATCGTGGTGGAGCCAGTGACGCTGCGCCAGACACCCCCACAGAATCTGGGAATCGCCTCGCTGAAACGCAGAGCTCAGACGAAGATTCAGGGATGAATGAGATGAGTGATAAACAGACGTGACGTCTTTATACGTTTCACGTAACAGAGTTGACGCTTCGCTTCACTTGGCGTGTTTTCCTTTGTTTATAGCTCAACATTTGTCACATCTATCCTAGAAGTCTGTTTGTTTTTACTTTGGATTATTTGTACAGATTGTTTATATAAAGTTCCCTTCTTTCCTTAGAAGTTCAAAAACGATGGTGTATTATAGCAATTGCATTTTGTATTGTGTAGCAAGGAGCAGTTAGCTTCCTATTCAAGATACCAGTTTTTAAATTCTGTGAAACCAACAGTAGGAATCTAACATGCTAATGCAAAAATAAATTTTAAACCCCCTTTTCTTATAAGAAGTTTCTTAATTTTGACGGTACATGTATGCTAATTGTAAAGTAATTCACATCTTAATCATGCATATTTTGTGACTATTAAATGAATTATGCAAATTCTTCAACCCTTTTCCCTCAGCGTCTTATGCTACATACTGCATGTGTGTATTTGAATTGTGTATAGTTTGTTACAACTAGAATTACAAAACCTATCACATCTTAGGTTAAACCACTTATTCTTCGTTAAATGTGATGATTCTTTCAATTTAGATTGTATCCACTGTTCATCACGAATATCTATTTTCTAGAAAACTGTATTCTTGTTACTTTCCAGGTTGTAGCATAACCTATATCCAGAAATGAAAATGTACTTAGAACTTGACCTAGTGTCAAGTTCTAGTAACTTGTGTTTAAGTGAAAATAAAGAATATGCTGTGGAATAATATCTGTATGCATACTGAGTCTTTTAAACAGTTTAAGTAATAAACTTTTCTGAAATGCTGTCATCTTGATATGGCTTGAAACTTCTCATAGTCGTTGACATTAACTCATTATGATGTTCCCTAGTTTCTACAGCTACTTGAGTAGTTTTGGGTTTGACACGGTCATCATTAATCTTATATTTGGGCAGTATTTCTCAGTTGCAAGTTAAACATGAGCAATATAAGTGAATAAACAGGCTAGTCTACCTGACGTTACTTTCTATGAAGTCTTTTTCCTTTTTTTTTGGTGTTTGACACATATATGCATACGTGTTTTGGTAGGTCAGTGATAATACTGAGAATTTTCAGTGGTGAACTAATCTGCTAATAAGTTAATACTGGAATTCTTGTGCCAGTAGTCCTCTAGGTAATTCTGTACATTTAAAAAGGACAGTTCATATTCCAACACTAGCATAAAAATGTTGTTCAACATCGGTACAAAGTTCACTGCCTTAATGGAAAAGATCTTGCGGGAATTTCTTGTGAATCAGGAATACCTTTTAAGGGTTAAGGGTTGAATTTCTTAGTATTTTATAGATTTCCCCCCTCCTCCCTCCCCATTCTGTAGTAGTATCTTTTGATAGCTATGATGTAATACAATTTTAGGTAGTACTTGTACTTGTTTTTAAGTCTTTATACTATAATAACTTTATTGGGTTCATATTTTATAAAAGTGAATTCCCTCATGAAATTAAGGAGCAAAGAATATTTGTGCGTGGAAGTGGGCAAGTATGAAAAAAGGAATTTGTCATCTTTCTTATGCTAGTATTCTACTTAATTTTGCCACTTAAATCCAAACTGCAACAAAATGTTTCCATTTGTGTTGGTGAGTATTAATATTTCTCCTCTTCTTTTCCTGTAGGGTGCTGGAGATCTAGAAGATCCGTGGTAGCCTTACAAATCTACTAAAATGCTTTTGATTCTGAAAGGGGGAAAAAAAAACTTTTAAATCAGTTTTCTTCAATACAAGGGAAAAATTCTGGTGGATTTCCAACTTTTTGTGAAATGGGCAGAAAGATATTAGAATTTTCCATCATTTGTTCATTTTTGTGTTTTCTGATATTGCCACTCTTAGCATTGCCTGTACTACAGTATTTTTACCAGCCGCAGGCATACTGATTACATCTGTAATGAACTCTGGCCCTAAAAAGGAAGGAAGGAAGGAATGATTCAGCAGATCAGTATATGTACCTGAGGTGCATGGGATTGTAGTTGTACTCTGAAGATGCACTATGGCTTAATGAGATTTAAAACATATAAGCGTGAAAGAGTACAAGTAATTGTATGAGACGTTACTTATTTCACTTTACCGAGTTGGAAGGCTTTGCAGCTCTGTGGCTTGGAAGTAATTTCAATTGGGCAATATGCTATCAGATGTGTATTTTTTTTTTTTTAATTTTCCAGTTTTACCTGTATTACCAGACCGTTAGGTTTCCCTGCGGTGTCCAAATTGTGATATGTTGCCTACTGCTTGCTTGAAGATAAGTGTATTTGGCAATAATATATGAAGATTCTAGGCATCTAAAAACAGTAAGAATTTTACGCATGTGTACAACACACCCTTAAACTCTTGCTAGAGAAAATCTTTTAAAACCAAACTGATGAATTTATAGCTAGTAGTGACTTGCTTTGACATCTCTCACAGCTGCAGGTTTTTTAAAAAATGCTGAAAATTTGCCTTTATTATAATGTAAATTGTGATTTTTTTGTTCTATATGTGGTTATCTATAGTTTCTTGATTTTTTTTTTTTTTTTTCAACTTAAGATACAGACGAAAGTCTTGTGTAATATGGGTATAATTTTTAATTGTTTGCATTATTTTCAAAGTTCAAATTATCACTTTGAGATTACTATAAATACTCTTAAAATTATCTATTTTAAATTAAGAAAATATTAGAGATATTTTCATGGGTTCAATGACCTTTCATTTTATAAGCGATGGGCATGGTACAGAGTGGCTGTCATGTAAGGTACTTGAAGATTCTTAGTTTAATTCTATTTTTGCAATAACCTTGACTTTTTTCTGATTTCTTTGAGTTGTGCATGTAATGAGTCCAGTAAATGCTGAAAATGGAGAAGAGTAAAGTATTTATCTAAAATAAAAGCTATTGGGGAGGGGAAACAATGAATGTATCCATCTGTACATGATTTACATGCTGTGGATGCCTTGTAAACATTTTCCTATTTGTTTAAACTGTGTTTCAGCGAGGATGTAATTGCCCTTGTGTGTAGTTTTAAGCTAATGACAGTCATCAACTGGTTTTGTGTGAAATGGAATTCATGGTATTTTTCTGTAACTTTATCCCCATGGTGAGTCTGTAAAAAAAACCACATGCTCTTTCATACTGGTGCCTAAGGCCAGCTTTCCCAATCATTTTGATTCACTGTGTATCTGACTTTTTTCTTTTTTTTTTTTTTTTGGTCTAGAGAGGATTATTGCCACAATATATTTTATTTATTCATTAGATTTTAGCCTTGTAAGTTAAAGTGTTCTAAATGATGATGTTAACAGGTATTTGTCCCTTTACTGTTTTTTTGGGGGGTTGTTAAAAGATAGGGAATGAAGAATGCAAAATGGTTTATTGTTCAGACTGTCCGCTCTGGTCCAACCCTGTACTGATAGTACCTTCCCAGTATGATATTGTGATGTTTCATACAATACAGTGAACATAACCAACTTGTTATCTTCAATAAAGGATTGCTAAAACAGTGTGATATGCTTTATATTTTCTTGAGAAGGATTTATCAAGAAAATGCAAGTGTGTTATATAAAAGGATATCCAAATATGATTTACAAGGTTGTTTTTCCTAAATAGGATATTGATGGGTTTGTTTTCACTATATCAGGAATGTGGTTCTTTGTCAGAATAACCCCAGAATCTCCAAGTAGGCATCTCAGTTGGAGACAGAACATGCAAGCAACATTTAGAACTCACTAGGACAAATCTGTCTCAAGATCAGCTGGAACTAGTCTTTTTCTAGCTACTGGAAAGCGTTCATTGAAAATCTAAAAATTCAGATTAAACTTGACCTCATAGTCAACTCTTTTCCTCGGAGTTCCTTTAAGATCTGAGATTTTTAAAATTTTGCTCTTTTACAGAGTTTTAATATAGAATTGTTTTAACGTGAACACTCTCGCATTGAAACTCATGCTGATTTTAGTAGTGGAGTTGTTTATCGGGGGAAGGAAAACAAACCCTTTATATTACTGACACTGCATGGTAATAACCTGGAGTGGGTGGGTTTATTAACAGCCTTCAGGAAAGCCTGGTTTTCAGGTCTAGTCTAGGAAGTGTTTTGCTGCTCTTACAACTATATAGCACTGGGCTAAAGCAGCTGTACTTTTCATGTGCGTTATTGTATGAGCTGATGAAGCTGCTTAGGAAAGGCAAAGGAGTGAACAAAACGAATTCTGCACTCGGAATAGATGTCAGCTCTCCAAGGACGACGACATATGCTTACCACTAGTGGCTAGGTAGCTTCTTGATACCGTGTATAAAGTGGGCCAGAAGTGTAAGTGAGCCCCTTCATTTGTGAACTTTCTCATATAGGCAGCCCTGATCATAGGAAATTAGTAGGAACTTGGGATTGGTTACAGCATGGAGTCGAGCCCAGGGAGGCAATTTTTACTTCTGGAAGACTTTCTAATGGTAATGACTATTAGCAGAGATTCTTCACCTAAGTAGTTAACAAATGTAAGCTAAAGTGCTGTTTGGTAGGAAGATGCACTCTGAAGACTTACCTGACTGGCAGCTAATTGGAGCTTTTTCATTTTGTCCCATGGCAAAAATAGCTGTAAGCTGTGAAACACATGAAACTGGTCCAAAAGAACGGATATCTGACTAAAATGATGTGAAGGATGAGGGAATTTGGAGAAAATAAGATAAAATGTTCTCAGTTTCTGCTTGTTCTGCTTTTAAAAAGATTTCTTGCACTAGTAAATGCATGAATGTAACAACACAGTATTTCAAACAAATGCTGAAGCACAAACCAGGCTGTGTAGCTGCCTAACCCTAGGTATTAAGTATGTTCTGTCAAAAAGATAGTGCCAAGAAATTTTTTAATCTATTAACTAATGTCAGTTGTGTTGGGTTAAAAAAGCAATTTCAGATTCGGGGATTGTCTGCTGAAGGCATGTTGCTTTTAGTTTTTCAAATAACTTAAGTCAGGGAGTGGTAGCCTCACTGGTGCATGTGACCAGTTGCACTGGATGCTCCCAATGATGAAGGCAATTTAACGAAAACATAAGAAAGTAACTAATCATTGAGTTGTTGTAGTATAGTCCAGTTAAGTATGCAGTTTATGCAGCTGAACGTCCACCTGGCCTCTCATGAATCTTTGCAGTTTTTTTTTTTCTCTCAGTTTGGCAATCTGATCTTACCCTGCTCTCATTTATTTGGATTATTGCTGTAAAGATCTGGCTTAGCTGTGCTTTACCTGCACCATCTTACGTTCCCCTTAACTGCTTCTCTGTCTATCAAAAGACAAGTAGCTTTTGCGTCTTACCATAACTGCACCTCTCCCTTTTGTGTTTAGCTTACTGCTGGAAGTCATCTCTTCTTTCCTTCATTCATTTTCATACATCTTTAAGCAGTGCTGCTGTGCTTTGCTCTTTTTGTATCCAAAAAGTGATTTTTTCCCCCCTGATTACTACTACTTTCTTCAAAACCTTCTTAAAGCTCTCCTTTGCTGTGATACCTGGATTTCAAAACTCATTGGGATCATTGGTAACTTGCTTCTCCATTGACTCATACTTTCTTTTTCTTTCCTTGTCTGTCCCTGTCTGTATGCAGCTTGACTAAGATTTATTGTTAATTGTGATTAACATCAACTAATCATTGCCTCAGTACATGCTTTTAAAACTTTATCAAAGACTGACAAGAATCTAAGTCGTGGAGATGGGTTACAGTAGGAGAAGGAGGAGGCAAATCTTCCTCCTTTGATTCGGTATTCTTGCTGTGAAAAGTAGTTGCTGTTGCTAATACAGGAGGGAAAGCACTGTTTGGTAGGAAGATGCACTCTGAAAACTTAGGTGGCTGTCAAATAATTGGAACAGTGCAGCTGGAAAAAATTTCTCACCTGTTGTCAGATCTGTTTTCGAGATGACTGTTGCCCTGTTTTCTGCTTTCTCAGGCTTTTCAAGTTTAATGTGAGTTGCTGTAGAAAAGCTGAGGCTACAGGCTTCAGTCCAATAGTGTTTGGTATTTTAAGGACCCTGTCCTTGATTTTTAAAAAGTTGGAAGCAATCCAGTTCATAAATGCCCTCATGAAAAGATCTTGAAAGTTCAGCTTTCTCAGCTGCTTCTGAATTCTGCCGGGTGGTTATAGAAGATTCTTTTCAGACATCAGAGCTTCTATACAAATTCATCTGAGAAAAAAACCGACTGAGATTTGAAAGAGCCGCAGAGCTTAAATGAAAGAAATTGGACAAAAATTCGTAGAAGGAGCACTCCGTGCCTTGTTTGGTTAAAACATTTCTTTTAGGAGTTTTAGTGTCTAGAATTAGAAAGCGTGCCCAAAAATATTTAAAAACATTGTAGTCCTTGAAGGAGTATCAATTTCTGCTTGAAAGATCTAAATTATATTTTTAAGAAATTTATTAAGAGAGGAACTATGCTGAATGAAAGCGCGCCTTAGTGAACTGAAACTGTATTGCAGCCACAATTTTTTGTGATCACATAGTCTGGTTAAAAACTTTTTACAGTTTTAGAAGTTAATCGGAAACTTTGAAGTAAATGCATACATGTTTCTGTAAAGGAAATGTTTTAAGAGTCTAATTGCAGTAATGAAATGACATTTCCCGTTATTTAGCTTCTTAAGGAAACTTTTTAACACCATCAATCGTTCTGTGAATACTGTTTTGGTTTTGGCAAGTTATTTAGCATACGAAAGGGTGAGCTTTATTTAGTCTTGGACAAATAATTTATAAAATTATAATAATTATATTTGTCTTTTTATGAGAAATTGGAGAATGCTCTTTAAGTGTGGTGGTGTGGGTTTTTTTGTTTGTTTGATTTTTTTGATCCCTTCTTCAGGTTCGGTTCACAAACACTTCTAGGTTTTTAATGAGGAATAAGGTTTATGACCTGGGTAGATGAAGCAGGTGGTTTTTTTCAGTTCTTTCTACTTATAAATAAAAAAAAAATTTTGAGAGTAGAAAATGCTAATAATAGAGAATTGCTGTAAGTAAGATATAAGAGAAATTTTTAACTTGGCAAAATATAATTGTAGGAAATATTTTGCTAATAAAAATAGTGGGCAAGGTGATAGAAGTGTGGGACAATTTTTCAATGTCTGCTTTTAGTCATGATTACCTTTTTTGTAGTTTTAGGAGAAAAACTTTAAAATGGGGCAATATCTTACATTAGTCTGTTCGGATTTCTAATCATCTTTATCTTAAAAACATTTAGCAAGTTCTCTTCTGTTACCTAAGAGATTAGAAGTACTGCATTTAATTTCCTACTCAACTTATTAGAAGGAAGTAACTACAAAGATCCAAGTATGTGAGTAATTGTAGCTACTCTTTTTTTTATACGCAGTTACCATATTTCAAGTGCTGCTTCTGTGAACCAAATTAAAGGAAAACATAGCTACATTAACACCAGAAGGGGCTCTGCTGAGTTTGAGTGCTGTTTTGCTACCTGAGGATAAGGAAAGGACTCAAACAGCTCCTGCGTCTTCCTGCTTGTTTTTCCATAATGTTTTTTTTTTTCTTGTGATTCTTCCTTTTAAATGTTTAGTTAATGAAATATGTACCAATTACCTGATGAGACATTGATCAAATGGGCAGAATGAAAGGTTTGTGCAAATCTTATAGTCATGTGATAACTTCTAATGTGGCCGTGATAGCCTGTGTGCTTTGAACTGCATTAAATAGAAGGATTTAGACAAAATTAAGAAAGAGGAGAAAAATGTGCAAGATGGTATTACATTATTAATTTAAAAACGTTTGTCAGTGTTTCCCTTCTATTCAGCCTTTCAGTTCTGAAATGATTAGATGATCTATGTTTAGAATGCAAACTATTTTTGTGTTGAGTAGACTAGAGCCCCGTTGTACTTGGTACTACACGCTCCTAGGCATGATGGCAAACATAAAAGCATGAGGACTATGAGAGACAGCATCATATAACAAAAAATAGACAATTGCTTTAATTTATCCTCTGGTGGGAGGATGGGTGATAGTTGTCACTCCAGTATCTGAGTGACTAGTGGGGAAATTTTTTTTTTTTTTTAATTCACTGTGCAAATACTTGTGCGGTCTGGAGTTAAATTGTTCTCTGGTGCGCTAGTATGGAAAAGTTAGGTCAAAGGTGTCTGCAGCTGTCTTAAACACGAAATCTGAAATCTGGCACCTGAAAAGCCCACACAGTTCAGTGGATTCATTAAGTGCAAAATGGAGAGTCTGGTATTTGCTGCAGGCAGTGCTTTCTTGACCTTTCCCCCAACAGCGCTTTCGTGCTGAAGAACTGGATCCCTCAGTGCTAGGCAATTCTGAAATAGAACATTTCAAACTGTTAAGAGTGCTTATGCATTCGGGTAGCATATAATATTACAGCTCTGTTTTCAGGTAGAAGTATATGAATTAAGGATGCAATATAGTTCATAACCTTAATTTTTTGCAAATACTGGTATATACCAAGGTGAAGACTTAACTGAAATGTCTCTTGCTGTGGGAAAAGCTTGCATCAGCAATAATTTAAAAAAAAAAAAAAAGAACTTGGGGAAAAAACTGCCTGTGCTACATTTGTTTGCCAGTGCTTTTAGAATAATATCCTTTTAACCTAACATAGGTTCTACCCTGTCTCTTCCTCTTCCTCTTCGTGCTAACTGGAATTTATTTGGCTCTGTGTTCTTACTGGCTTCGTTCTGGAAGCGCGTAGTCACTGCTGCTGTGCCATCTGAGACAGGTCCCTTGTTCCTATGCTGCTGATGTCCTGTATGATGGTGGACAACTGAGCTGGATCAACTCTTGCAGTGAGTCACTGAGGTTTGAGCCAACTCTGCCTACAGGGATAACTAAACTCAATTTGCTGCCTCCACACCTTTTGCTTTCCAGAAACCTCCTTATGCTGTTTCCAGATATGCTGGGGGTCTTCAGGCCTTGTCAAGATGCTCTGTAGTACTGATCCTACATGACTGTCTTGTTCCTGTGACTTTCCTATTCCTTTGGATTCTGCGTGCTCTCACTGCTGATGTAGTGACCCACTTGGAAGAGATGGACTTCTTTTAAGGGCTTTGCTATAGGAAATGTTACGTTAATGGTTTTTGAGATGGTTCCAAAGAAAAACATAGTTGCTGGGAGGCGGTAAGTATGGCTTGCACTAAGTAAATACAATTGTCCAGTGAAAATGTCAGTTTTCATATTAAAACTTGGGAACGTTTTCATGAGCATTTCTGGCCCTGTGCCTCCTTTCCTTTTCTTTCAAATGGGAGTGATAGTCCTCCTTTGCAAAGAGCGTTGAGTGGGTGAATACTGTAAAAGTGAGGACATAACATATTTTTGTGGCAGGCAGAAGATAGTATGAAAGACCCTGTAAAATGTAACTTTTTGGGGAGGCAGTGGAAAGAGGTAGGATCACTGACAAAAGCCTCGTGTTTGCAGAACTGTTAATTACTGCCCCTCTTGATCCTGTTCATAGGAATAGTGTGTTGTTTTTGTAAGGTTTTGTGGGATCGGGCCCTCTATGACACTTCTAAAAGATGTTTGATTTTGTTTTCTGTTTACTTTTGCCTGCAATATGCAATATGCCTGCAATTGGTTGCCACAGTTAGGGAGATGATGCTGGGAGTCATCAGTTTTGTCTTGGGTCTGTATTTCAAGACAGTGCCGCAAACTGAATGGGGTTGCGTAGCTGGAGTGTAGGGGGAGCTGTGTGGTGAGTTACATGCTAACAGAGGTAATCACTAACTTATAGCAAGTAGGAATTCTTCTCTCTTTCCTTCCCCCTTACCCTTTATTTAGGGTGGAACAGTTGCCACTCTCATTGCAATTCAAAATTTTTCAAACTTCCTGAAAATCTAAGTCCATTAAAATGAACAAACAAAAAAGTAGAGACGAAAAGTTAGGGCCTTTGTAGGTTTTCCCCATGTACTTTTTCTTTTCCTTACTAGTGATAATAGTATCTGTGACAGTGCTTGTCAGCTATAGAGAGAGGACTGCGGTTCTGACATCACCAGGTTGAAACTGCAATGTTGTAGTCTTAACAAAATGGAGTTGCATACAGTGGTGGATCTCTTACCCTATAAAAAGGCTCAGTACCTTTTTATAGTCAAAAAGCACTGTAGATATGATGCCTGAGACATCTAATGTGAGCTGAGTTGATTAGCAGGATGTGTGCATTTCATAAAGGGCGATAGATCTAGAGAGACTTATACTATTAGCTGTGAGGAAATGGGAACCTATCCTGAGTTTTATGCCTCATTTATTAGACCGTTTCTTGTGTATGAAAAAACAAACAATCCTCCCAAACTGAGCATACTGAATTCTGTATGTTCTAGTACGTGTGAGAACTTACAAACGGGGGGGTGGGGGAGGAGGAATTAATCCTCATGAAGATGATATATGAAAGGCAACGTGACTAAATGACTGTCATAGCGTTGCAAAAATAGTTTTTTCATGAACTAAACACAGTTTTTAATAGTAATTTAAAAAGACTAGAATGTAAGGATGGCATAGGAGAACACATTTTGAAGGGTTTTTGTGTGTATACATACCAAATATGTATGTATACCAATATGTTGATTTCACTCCCAACATTTGCATTGTTTGGGATTTTTTGGTTATATTTTTTGTTTTGTTTTGTTTTGTTTTCCTTTCGCTTCCCTGATGCTGGACTGTTTCAGTCTGGTCTGGAAACAATGGACGTTTCAAGTCAGACTGCCATGTAATACTTCGGGGTGCAATTCACTAGCACAGAGTGAAACATGCTGTACAAAGACTAGCAATTTCTGGTCTAAACTGACCTCCTTCAGCTTTTTTCAGCAGGAAACTATTTCAGGGGAGGACAACCTGAGTGTATTTGATCATAAGATGACTCTCATCAATTTGATATATGTGGGGAGGAAAAAAGGAAATTCCAGGGTATATCTAGAGGCAGCAGTTCAGACAGGGAAGGATTAATCTCATTATTCTGAGCCCTGGTGAGGCTCAGCGTGCAACGCTGTATGTAATTGTGTGATAACGTGTGTGATTCATGCAGGTGGGGAAACTGAGGCACTGTGGAAAGCAATATAGCTTGTATAGTACGGTGGTAGTTCTGGTTGTGCGGTGTATGGATGGCAGAGTCAGGAGGAGAAGGCAGTATTTGTCGCCTGACAGCTCGTCCCTGAAAACCGTTTCAACTGGATGAGGAAGTGCTTTATGTTCAAGAGACCAAAACTTACTCCTCAGTAAGTTTTTCTCACTATCCAGTGAATTTAAGTTGCTGCAAAACATAAGTTGCAGCATGAATAAATGTGTCCTGCCACGGGATGGTTACCAGCATGCCCTTGGTAACCTGAAGGATAGATGTCGTTATGATGCAGTGCAATGTTGTATTGTACTTTTGAGCTTCTGTTTGACACCTGTCTAGCTGCGTTTTAGCCTCGTGTTATGGATTTCCCAGTTCAGAGATCTTTCAGTGACACCTGAGTGACTCCTGGGTGTGCAGCTATTAAAGCTTCAGCAACACAGTCTTTCAGGGTTTTATACCATGATCAACATACCCAGCTAATCTACGAGTAAAATCAAGGTCCATCTCTCTCACTAGCAAAGCTTTTAAGGGCTAGGCTGGAAAAGAAAATTCTTTTAAAGTTGTCATTCTCCAGAACAAAAATAAGACAGCCAAATGCTACAGAGGGAAGAGCTGCACGAACGCAGACTGACGGGTACAGTTTTTTGAGTGAGCTTCCTCCTGAGGAGGCCAACAAACCTGGAGCTTAGTGTAAAACAGATTTTTCTATGGCTGTGTGACAGTGTACCATTTGATTCTCTGTAGGAGAAGGCAGCCAGAAGGCGTTGACTCTTGCCTGCTACTGTCATTGCAGGTACGCTAACAGCAAGACTTAGATGACAACTATTCTTATTACAGTTGGAGGGAGGAGACTGAGGACCTGCGGGTCTGGCAGGTGCCCAGGGCTCCGCCTTCCCCCAAAGCCACCCCTGAAACTCTGCGTGAGCCACGCAGGAGGTAATTACAGCGTTTATAATGCCATTAACCTTTAATCACGTACTCCATTAGTAGACTAAGGGCATAAATAAAAACTAAAAAAAGGGTCACGGAGTGCCACGTAATCGTATTTAGGACTTAAAACTGCAAGCTGATGGTGGGTACCTCATGTATGGTTGGGGCCTCCCAGGGTTACAGATGTCCCATTGGAAACTTGTTTCTAGAGGGTGTCTCACTTTTGATGGCTGCCTTCTGTGTCAGGGGAGAACTTTTTTAAGGCTGCATGAAATGTAGCTTTAAAGGTCAGATCAGCTGCCAGTCTTTGGGAGCCACTGAAGAAAAATTCACAACCATAATGTTTGCCTTTTTACATGGGTGTAAACTTGGCCCTGCTTCTGTAAATAATAAGGTTATATCTAGACGTAAAATACATTATGTCAGACTAGTTTCAGCGGTAACAAAAGATTTAATGAAAAAGCATTAAGCAAGAGAACTTTTAAAAATAAACATCTTCCTACACTTATCACATTAGGGTGCTTAATCACCCCTTTGTATGACTTTTGGTGTAATATGTATGCTATCAAATAACCAGCAAGCTACTTGGCATTTGTATAGCATCAAACAGCAGACATCTTAGTCAGCCAGTACATCTAAATAATTATACATAAGAAACACTTGTGGAAATAAACCCCTCCATCTTATGGAAATAACCATGGCAATCTGTGTGGAGATAGTAGCTATTACTACCCACATACTGATGGGTTTTGTTTCCCTACCTAACACTAAGGCAAACAGAGTAACTGGAACAGAATGTGAAGTGTGTTCTTTGCTATTTAATGCTTTTCAGCAGATTCTGCTGGTTATCCCTGCTCAACTATAAAATTGCTCAGGAGGGAACCGTTTCAGAATTGCTTGAGAGCAAGTCAGAAACATAATGCCTGCATACATGAAATATATTTTAAAAGGGAAAAGTTAAGGCTCAATGGGAGTTTTTGGTGATCTGCCTCTCTCAAGATGAAGTTTACAGTTTCTTTTTATCAGCTAATTTTAAGGCAAACTACTCCTTAAGAGTAAAAAATAAATAGTCTGTAAGAGGAACATAAAATACCTGTGTAGTTTTGTAACTAATTCACGTATACCAGCCTTGGGGCCGAGCAGTTAAGCTAACAAGCTATACAGGCGTCTGTGATACCTGATTGCAATTGTAAAGGTAAAAAAGAAGCCACCTGTTACTTTAATACAGCCATCGTGTTCCAACAGTTCTGGAAAGCATAGGGATAATTTGTATGAAAGCACGTGTTGGTCTGGTCCTTGGTACTTGTGTTGCTTTGATACGGAAGGGACTAATTTAAAATGCCAAATGTAAGCTCTTTTTTTCCTGTATGAAGCTAACTATTTTGAATCTACAAGGAAAACCATATAGGAGTAGGAGGCATCAGATTCCTGGGCTTGCTCTTGCGGATCTGTGGTAGGTAATCTTCCACTTTCTGTTTTAAGCTCTTCAGCAATTTTTCCTCTCCAGGTTTTCTAGAAGAATTCTTTGTATCTGAGGTCCAGGCACCTGGCCTAAAATGTGTCTGTTGCACTTGTACCTGTTTGTACCTCAGCTCTTCTCATATAGCAACGTGGAGTTGATCTAAAATATGATTGAAGCCTGTCTGTAAACACTCTATGTTCACCAGAACGGCTACTTGGTTGTTTCCAGGATTGTTTATGTTCTGTTTTAATTTTAAAATAAGGGAGTAGGGAGTGTGTCCCTGTGTCTGTGTGAATGTTCGGTAGCCTTCCTAGTTTAGCAGCTGAAGTTTAGCAGTTTAACGGGCTCTCAGTTCTTCAGCACTGGAGGAAGGCTGTAGTGGTGCACGCAGGTTCATTTATATAGAGCCTTAGATTTGTGCACATTACATTTATCTGGTATAGCAGAATAATCGTCTTGTTTTCAGCTGGATGCTTGGCAATTAAGACATGGTTTGTGCTACTTAAGGTATAAATAAGCATTTAACATTACTCAGGAATTACATTAGGACAATAGACACTATTTTGAAGAAATAATGTATGGAAGGATTCATAAAAGAGGTATTTGCAGCTGTGCAGCTGGAAAATGTTTTGAGTAAGGCAGAGGAAAAAAGTAGTTGCTTCCTAAATGTGTGTACAGAGTGCAATAGTAGGTTCTAACCACATAAATATGAATTTGCCTTTATCAGTTGTAAGAGGTATGCATATTAATGGTAACCTGTATTTTTTGATCAAGCACGTGCAGCCGTGCAGGTTGATATCAGCATTAAATTTATAGAAAGTTTACCAGCTAAAGTAAAGGGGGGATGAAAAATATCAGTTGCTTTGAACCAGATTTCAACAGTGTTTTAGGTAGTAATAGTCCTTGGGTGAAGTGGGACTGAGTCCCTGATACTCTGCAGATTCTTGTGTGGTCTTAGGTAAGTCCTTAAAGGAGTTTAAATTCTCTTTCTGTTTTTGATTCCAGAAAAACAAACAAGTGCACGTGTGTGCACGCGCATGCACACACACACTCACACACCTTTGTGCCTGTGAGGCTGAACTGTTACATGCCTTGCCTCCAGCTCTGTAAAAGTGAGATGACAGGACGTTCTGGAAGGGACAGAAAGACATTAACTACAATGGGTGTGAGACACAAAGAACATGATTTAACTGAGCAGCTTTTCGTCAACGCTCGCTTAAACCTTATACCCTGACCCCATCTCCCAGCACGTCCTCATCGTCCTCTCTGTGCTGAGCTGGCAGAAGCATTTGTGTGGTCTTTTGGTGACCAGGCAGAGTAGAAATAGATCTATCTGAAGAATGAAAAGATTGGTTTCTGCCAAATCAGTTTCCCAGTCCGGTTCACCGCATGTACTAATACACAGGTACCTCACACAGGGCAGGCGGCAACGCAAGGCAGCAATAAGACAAAGGTAAGAGTTCCTTGAATTAGCATTAAAAGTTGGTGAATTAGGCATATAACTGTATCTTGAGTCATGGTTGTATAGTATTGCCTATTGAGTTGCAATTTATTATGATAAATCACATGTCAATGTCCCGCTGATGTGCCGGAGATGTCTTCCAGGACGTGTAGAAGTGTCAGTCTGCATCTCTTGTACCCAAATGGTCTTTGTCACCTGGCTTCTCTCGTTGTAAATCCATGCCATATAATGTTAAATGCAAAGATTCTCAAACTTGCGCTGCGCTCTTCAAAAGAGATGCCAACAATGATCTGGGGTAAGTTCTGCTTGATACTGTCACTACGTGATACCAGGCAAACAGCACGGCTGGCCTCAGCTTTGTGGTCTACGTGTCAGGTACGCGGTTACAGAGAGAAGTGGAAAAAGGAAAAAAGCATTAAAATCTGATTAGATTTCACTGTTAATGGGTCACTTGTTTTACTTTTCGTCGTGCAGTTGTCTTCCAGCATAAATACATTCTTCCAGTTTTCTACAAATGCAGTAAGATTGTTTACTGTTCCTGTTAACCTTGTAGGAAATGACCTGGAATTCGCAGGGCAGTGGCTGGTCTTACCAGGCAACGTTATGGCTTGGAACACATTAAAAAAGACAAACAAACAAACAACACCCCTCTTCCTGCCCAAACCCACCACTGCAACTTAGATAACCGATACACAGTTTGCTTGTCAATGTTGTTCCTATCCGATTTTTTTTCAGCAAACTTCCTTTTTGAAAATTTTTTTTTACATACTACTTAGCTCTATCTCTCTAAATATCACAACAAGAGTCAAGCTTCATCTTCTAGGTGTTGCTTTAATGCAATGTTGCCATCTCAGAGACTTGACTTGTTTTTCTTGTGGTCACTGGTGACCAGATTTTTTTGAAAGGTCAAACAGATGCATCACTTGAGTGCACAGACACCAAGACACTCATATATATGTATGTATGTCTGTAAATTTGACCCTCCTAAATTCTATTTATTCAGCTTACCCAAGGTAACACTGTAAGTGGGTAGATTTAAGTCAATTTTTTTTGCTCTTACTTCCTACTTGTTTTGCTTCTTACTGTGCATGGAGGTTTGAAGTAGCTTTTGGGTATGGCAGAAGTCTGTGGACATGTTTGAAACTGTTTGCAGAAAAGTAAGGGGAAGAATACTGTGGTCCCAAGATGTATATGACATGATTAAAGATTTTCTGCATTTAAACATGTCCTATTTTAATCTGAAGTGAAATCCCTGGAGTGAAATAATTGAAATGGAAAAAAAAATGTGACTGATATTACATAAAAGATTAAAGAAACATAGCAGAGACCAACACATCTCAATCAGATACTGAGTACAAGCTTATGCCCTGAGTGTACCATGCATACTTGGAAACTTTTAAAAAATTTACTAGTATAGTGATAGTAAGGCTGTAGAATCATTAGACGGGAGGCTCTTTCAAGTAACTTCCCACTTCTGAATTTCCTGGCAATATTGAATTACAGATAACTGAAACTATTACTGTTATCTGAAGTGTTCCTGGTTAAGTGATCATCTGCTGCAGCTATCTGAACTTGCTCAGGATGAATTTGCTGGGACCCACCATTGTGAGGAAGGGGAAGAATAGGTTTAAAATTGTCAGATAAAAAGACCTTCTAGCTCTTCTGACAGCTTCTAGCTCTTTGCTCAGCTACTGAAAAAATAATGCATATATGAATCAATGGAATAATGTGTACTGGATTATAGTAATTAGTTTATAAAACTTCTATAGTGTTTTCATTTTTGAGGCAAAATTAATAAACACTATGTTGTGTCCTTGTTCTTAAGAGTCATCTTGCTAAGAGGACAAAAGCAACTGCTTCTCCAATGCAATTAGTCACTGGAATTTCTCTGGGACCCTGGCCCCCGGGCAGGTTTGTTTTAACACATAAGGCAGCTCCTCAGCTGGTGTATACTCCTTTGCATTGGCTTGGCAAATGGCATTGATGCAGGGGGAGAGCTGCTCTCGGGGACCCGAGGCTTAGGGTACACACATGTAAATCAATGCACTCTCTCTAAACTTTGAGTGATGCTTTTTCATGACCAGAATATTAGAGATGCAGGAGAAGGAAAAGGTTGCTTTCGCTGCTTTTAATTGAAGGAGGAGAAAAAAAAAAAAAATAGTGTCTGTGTGGGTGGGAATGTTAATAGTCAGCAGTGTGCTGCTTCTCACTTGGGTCCAGCTTGTGCCTGTGCAGAGCTGTCCTGACCTGGGGATGGCCCTGGGTACAGCAGCTTGTCATGTGCAGTGAATTCCAGGATCGGTATGTGTCTTATCGTTTTTACTGCTTAACAGCTGTGGGTGGGCTGGGTTTGGGTTAGAGTTTTTTGGGTTTTCTTTTTCTAAGCTGTAAGAAACCAAGTGAACAGGCTTCTGTATCTTTTATTTACCTTATTGCTTTTGGGCCAGAAATTGTCAATACCTTGTTCTTGCTGTTCATATTTAAATTTCTCATTAATGTTAGTCAGATTGTGTTAGGCAGGAGAGACCATGACCAGTCTGGAAAGCTGCATATTAAATTAATTTTTTATGGGTTAAAACCGGAATTTTTTCCACTGCTATCAACAGCAAGACAAGTTTAGATAGTGCTTTGGAGAGAGCAATGGTATATATAACTTCGCTTAGTTGGTACAAGAAATAAAGCTGCCTTTCGGGAAGGCTGTGATGTGACTGTGTTCACTATCTTGCTGGGGATGCTTATTATGCAGAAGAACAGGAGCACTTTGCCCTTTTGTCTCTTTTGAACTTTAACCAGTTGGTCAGGATTATTTATAAACCCAGATGCTAATTGCATTGCTTCTTGTTTCACCGAACAAAGGTATTTTGGCACGCTTCCTTGTTGCAGCAAGACTCCCCAGGACAAGACGTACCAATTAAGATGGTTGGTGAGGAAGCTAAGAGTTTACCTATAGAGCTGAACGAGAAAGGAGGTATGGAGAACAACGGATTTGTTCAGAACGAGGCTTTTGATGAGAAGGAGACCAATAGCAGTAGCCAGGAAGAAATGCCAAAAACGTGCGTTGTAGGCATGAACCCAGCAGCTGTGGAGGAGCCAGTTTTGGAGCCGTATGCTGGGATGCCAAAGGAAGTTTTGCTGAAGTTCTCCAGTCAAGCTCGGTACAGAGTCACCAGAGAGATTCTCTTCTGGCTTATAATTGCCTCTTCAGTCCTGCTGGTGTGTGCTACCATTGCAATTATTGCTTTGTCTCCCAAGTGCCTTGACTGGTGGCAGGCTAGTCCTGTTTACCAGATCTATCCTCGTTCTTTTAAAGATAGCAACATGGATGGGAATGGTGATCTGAAAGGTGGGTAACTTCGCTTTTTTGCATGCAAAGCTGTATACCACTTGTTTGTGTGTTGTGTGTGTGTTTGTGCATATTTAGAAGATAGGTGTAGGGGTGTGTGTATACATATGTGTGTATGTATATGTACACAGTCCAAGAGAGAGAGCCACCCAACTGGAGAGGGGAATAAAAGTTGTCTGATGACTCATTGATGTGAGCTCCCATTGTCATTAGTGGATCCCATTAGGAGCTTGTTCTATTTGTTAAATTTAAGCCTGGAGCGGGAATGAATGTTTAGAGGTGGGGGTGAGAACAATCAGCAGTACAACTGCAATCAAAGCAAAATATCTCTGCAAAACTAAGGCTGAGCAGGAGAATGTGTGGTGTTGAGCACTTTATCATGCTGCTTTGGCTGCCTCTCTATAAGGAATAGTGAGAAAAATTAAACTGGCAAAGTAAGACTAGAGAAAGCTGCGTTACTTTTATGTTTGTTCAGGGTGTGGGTTTTTGAGCTCTTATGAATGCACTGAGAAGGCTTACCTGATACCAACAGGCAATGCCAAATATCAGTTACTTAGCTGAATTTTAGTGTAGTGTGCATGTTTCAGAAGAAGTTTTAGCACTATAATGGACAAGAAATCTCTAAACAAAAAGCACTAGACTGTAATATCCTCTGCCAGCAAGTGAAAAGAAGAAACTGCTTCTGTATTTGCACCCTAGCTGTAACATGTCAGGAAGATGAGACTTTCTCTTTTTTTTTTTTTTTTTTTTAATCAAAAGGCGCTCATACTCTTCCTAACCTGAGGGAAAAACTGGAATCTTTACATTAAAATTGTACTCATCTTCCCTTTGGATACTCTGAGGATTAATTGACATTCCTTGAAAGGAGAAATTAATCCAATTGCTGCATTTTAATAAAATGGAGTCTGTTTTGAGAAATAAATGTTAAATTTCATTTAATAAATGAGGCTATAAATGTTCACAGAATCACAGAATAATTGAGGTTGGAAGGGACCTCTAGTCCAACCCTTCTGCTCAAGCAGGGTCATCTAGAGCACATTGCACAGGATCGTGTCCAGGCGGGTTTTGAATATTTCCAGAGGAGGAGTCTCCACAACCTCTCTGGGCAACCTGTTCCAGTGCTCTGTCACCCTCACAGTCAAGAAGCTTTTCCTCATGCTCAGATGGAACTTCCCGTGTTTCAGTTTGTGCCCGTTGCCTCTTGTCCTGTCGCTGGGCCCTGCTAAAAACAGCTTGGCCTTATCCTCTTGATGCCCTCCCTTTAGATATTTGTATACATTGATGACATCCCCCTTCAGTCTTCTCTTCTCCAGGCTGAACAGGCCCAGCTCTCTCAGCCTTTCTTCAGAGGAGAGATGCTCCAGTCCCCTCATCCTCTTTGTAGCCCTCC